GTCGATCTGTTCTCTCACTTGATGAGTTATTCTATTCACTTCCATGATCCTGTCATTCAAAAGTTACTAATTCTAAGATGTACACATATTTTTCTTTGTTGTTTATGACATGACATTTTGTTTAAGAATTCACTGTCAAGTACAAAGGTTGAGCCCTATATCTCCTTCAGTGAGTTTTATAATTTGAGATTTTACCTTTAGTTCTGCAATCCATTTTGAGTTGTGTTTTTTTATTAATGAAGTTTATTGGTACATTTTAGATGTATGCAATGATCACATTCCTCATGGGGAATTTGTAACTATACATGATGTATCTTGATTATTTTTTTCCCCATTCCCCTTCCCTCCTTTCAACCCCTCTTCCCCTCCTTACAAGAGTGCTGAGCCTGGACATTGCCAGCTTCTTCATGACCTCAGGAGCAGAGCACTTATCTTTACCATGGAGTAGGCTGCTGGCTGTGGGACTGGGTACAGGCTCTGATGGCATGGAGGAAGTGACCTGGTTCTCTTGGTTTACTGCTTTGGTCAGGAAACAGAGTTGCCATTTGGCATATGCTTCCTCTCCATTTTCTGATATAATTTGTGAACTTGGTCTCTTATTTTACTGATCTACAGTTCTACACAAATTGATTTTCAGTGCTAAGTGCACCTTCCTTCATCGTATATACTGTATTGGATCATAGTACATTATTTTTCTGTGTGCACTTAGACTCAACTAGCTTCTATAAAGTTCAGGATTTTTGTGTTCATATTCATCTGGAAGAGTAGACGGTCATGTTGTATTTCTGTGACATCTTTGATTTTGTACCTCAGTGAAATTGATGTAATATTAAGGTAATGTTGTATTCAGTGAATAAAGTGAGAAATGTTTTTCCTTTTCTGATTTAGGAGGAATTTCTGAAGTGTATTAATTATGCTTTCAAATGTGTAGTAGAATACACTGAAGCCATCAGGACTGGGCATTTATTTGGAAATAGGTTTTTAAAATTAAAACTCTGTGGTTTTGCTCAATAAAACACCCTTGAGAAGGAGGTCAGCAGGCAACCCATTTTCCAGGTCCCTTTCTATCTCTCTTCAGCAGAAGCTATCTTTCTCTCAATAAATTCTTCCTACTCTAAATAAATGAATAAATAAATACTTTGCTTCCTCCATGGTTATACCTCTCAGTACTCACTTATATCTTTTTGTCTTATGTCTGGTAATTTGTGATCCTCTTGGAATTTGTCCATTTGATTTATTTTATTCTTCTCATACATTTTCCCATAGTAATTTTTTTAATACTACTTTAGTGATTTCAGAAAAAATTCTATCATTTTTTACTCAAGAAATTTAAACCTCTCTATTTTTACTATCAATCAAACTAAAGTTTCATAAATTTTGTAGCTCTTTTCAAATAACCTGATTTTTTCAGTGATATTCTCCTTTATTTTTTAATCCCCTGTTGCAGTATTTCCACTTGTCTTGGTTACTTTTCTCTCATTGCTGAGACAAAATACCCAACACCCAAAATTAAGGAAGGAAAGGTTTAATCAGGTCACAATTTGTGGGGGTTTCAGTCCATACTCAGTTGGCTCCAAGGCAGAGTGGTACATGGCAGAGGGCAACAGTTCATGGCGGCAGAAGACAGCAAAAGTAAGAGTAAAAAAGCGGAGCACTAAGCCTCTTTTCCTCCCTTACATTGTATGCTGGCTACCCACCCATGCCCACACTGTCTCAGTGCTTTTCTCTTGCACAGGCTCAGGATGAATACCAAAAAACATCCTAGAGCAGGAAGGCCATGTCCTTTTCACCCCAGGGTGTAGAACTGCTGAGTCACTTAGCCAAGCCTCTGGACTCCTCAAATTGACAGTGTATCAACCATAACACCACTCTTACCTTTTTTACCTATTTAATTCTTGTTCTGGGCTTAGTTTCCTCTTCTTAAATATTCTTAGGTAAATGGTTAGATTATGAGCAATGGAAGCATTTGTGTCGCTACTTTTCCTGTAAGTAGCATTTTAGGTGCATCACAAGGTTTAGGTTTTAACAATATTGTATGTTTGTATTAATTTATCCCAACGTATATTCTGATTTTCTCTTCATTTTTCTTTGAACCAGTATCTATTTTTAGAAAGTGGTTTAATGTTCACGTATTCATAAGTTTCCCAAATTTTATTCTGCTATTATGAATTTCATCTCATGTGGTCAGAGTGTATTCTTTGTATGAATCATATAATTCTCAAGCACTAGACTTCAAAGAAATAGAAATTTAGAAACCACCTGAAAAGCAATCTGAATAGTGACCTCAGGGAAACTGAATGAGATACAGAATAATACCAATAATTCAACAAAATCAGAAAAGCAATTCATAATCCTAAAGATAAATTCAAAAATAGAACCAAACAGGAACTTTGGAATTTGAGAATCAGTGAATGAGAGAAAAAAGTACAATAATAGCTTCAACACCACAGGAAATAAAAATGGAGAATTAATGTTGGAATATGAAAATAAGAATATTGATAGAACCCACTCAGGAAGGAAAATTCCGAGTCAAAAAAGTCCATGAGACTAATGGGTAACAATTAATTAGACAAATGTTCCCATCATAGTAGTTTCAAAAGAAAAGAAAAAAACTCAGAGATCTTAGTTGACATAAAAATTTCTATGATATCTCAAGTCTTGGAGGTGACATGGACATCTAGATTCATGAAGTTCAAAGATCAAATAATGTTCATCCCACAGAGATCTTCTCTCGGACATGCTGTAATTGAACCATCAAATCTTAAGACACAAAGAATTCAAAAAATAGTGAGAAAAAATAGCATAAGTCCTATGTATTGAAATGTGCATTTCACCATAAGCAGACTTCTCAGCAAAAACCCTCCACTATAGGAAGGTAGTATCTTCAAAATGCTGAAAGAAAAAAACAGACTAACAATTTACCCACCATGCAAGAATCTACGTCAAGCAAAGCTGTCCTTCAGGATAAAGGTTTTGTAGACTAGAAAAGCAGAAGGAATTCATAACCATTACATTGGCCCCATAAGAAATGTTTGAAGGAATGCTTCAACCGCAGGAGAAGGGAAAATAACTCTTGACATGAACAAAGGAAACCTCAGGGGTTAGGGAAGATTAATAACCAAATTCAAAGTACTTCATCACATTAATAGCAGTATGCAGTATTTCAACCTCTAATATAAAACTTCAAAGTGGAAATGGGCCACAATACCTGCATGCACTGAAGTTGTTAAGGAACACACAATCTGTAAATTTCTAAAGGAAGCCAGAAAGCCATGGACTATTTTGGAAGGAAAACTTCAGAAGTTTTGTATACAAACTTAACTTTTTATCAGCCAGTGCATATCCAGGAATCATAACCATCAATGTAAATGAAAGAAACCACTCAATTAAAAGAGGTAGTTTAGCTGAAGGCATTTTTTAAAATCATGTGATTATATGCACTCTCCAAAGATTTACCTACCAAGGACACACAGACTGAAGGTGAGGTGACAGAAGAGTGTTCAAGGCAGATGGAAATCAAAAGAGACAAAGACAAACTTTAAAATGGACTGTTTTTTGTGGGTAGTACTGGGTTTATTCATTTAAATAGACAGTTCTTATATACAAAACAAGCTGATTTTTTCCAAGTAGTTAAAAGCACTCTTTAAACATTCAGTAAAGGTTACAGCATGGTTACACGGAACTTCTCTTCCCTAGAAGCACTTAAGTGGACAAATATGTCACAATGAAGCCGTCACAAGCACGTCAAGACGGCACAGGAGCGTGGGGGGCAGCAGGTCTCGCTTCTCACAGCTCATCCTCCGCAGACTGTGGGTAGCCGGGGCGCATGTCTGCATTTGGGTAAGAAGCGAATTCCCCAAGGGTGGGCTGGATTAGAACACCCACCCCCGTGTTAGCACTGACCAAGTACATCTTCAAAGCAGAGTGCACCACAGTTGAACTCCAACAATGAATCGCAAAACTCAGGGTGAGTGACGGTCGCTGTGCTGATGTTGTGACCATCGGCACCCAGGATGACTTCTACCCCCAGGGCAGCCACAGGCGCCTCTGTGCCTCAGGACAGAAGGCCAGGAAAGCACAATCACAAGACCTTACACTGCCTGCAACCTCTCCTCAATGCAGCAAGGCCTTTCTTATTCTAAAACAGAAAACACACTAAATCAGAAGTGTATGAGGATAAGGAAAGCTCTGTGTAACAGCAAAAGGGTCTTTTCTCCATGAGTATATAATGACTGATGAATACATATGCACCTGAAACTAGAGACATAAACATAAAAGCAAGTATTGATAGACCTAAACAGAGTAATGACGAATAAATGTTAGCAAAGAGCTTAGAAACTTCACTTTCAAAAATGAAGAAATCAAGACACAGAAAATCAGCCAGAAAATAATTACCTTATACTATATTCTTGACCAAGCGGATTTAACACATACTTAGAGAACTTTGCCCAAAAAAAGTGTAAGAACATGATTTCTTCTGAACAGAACCTCCAGTGTAGATTACATGATAGGTCACAAAACCAGGCACAGTAAGTTGTTAATAATGGAAGGCACATCAAATGTGTTTTCTGAACATAATACCATAAAACTATGAATCAACTCAAAAATCACCAACAAGAACTTGAGAACTTGTTGCATGTAAGGAAATGGAGCTACACGCTCTGAGATGATGAGGGATTCAACAAATAAATTTAAAATAAAATTGAACAATTTTTAAAAGATAAATGGAAATGGAAACACAATGTAATATACTTAAGAAATGCACACAAGTAGTAGTTCTCAGAGGGATGTAGGCAGCAATAAAGCCCACTTTATATAAGTAGGAAAATCTTATATAGGCAATCAACTGTTACAACACAAGAAACTGCAAGATAAGAAATAGTAAAACGGAAATTGATGGGAGATATACATAATGAAAGTAATACCAAAGGTAAAGGAAATAAAACAGCAATTAATATATACATAGAATCAATAAAACAAACAGTTGGATTTTGAAAACAATAAACTGACACACAGACTAAGAAAAGAAAGGGATGAGTTAAAGGAAGAAAATCAGAGATGAAAAAGGAAACATCATAATTGATACCAAAGAAATGATAAGATCACACCAAACTACTGTGAACCACACGCCAAAATGTTCAAAAATAGAAAATACACACGGCCTACAAAAATTTTTCAGAGAGAAGAAAAATCTGAACCTTCCAATAATGAGTGAACAAAATTTTTTAAATATTCGAAAGTTCCCATCAAAGAAAAATCTAGGGGGCTAAGGATATAGCTCAGCGGCACAACACCTGCCTGGCAAGCACAAGGTCATGAGTTCAATTCCCAGTACCAGAAAAAAAAAAAAAGAAAGAAAAAGAAAAATCTAGGACAGGATGTCTTCACTGCTGCATTCCATAAAGCATTTAAAACTAACACACTAGAAATTATTTCCAAGCCTTTGCAAACACTGAGCAACAAGGTACTCTCCCACTTTCTTTTCTTTTTGATGATGAAAATGTCAATATTCAAGCAGATGGGAGGCAGGAAAAGAGAGCAGAGTCTTCAACATCACCCTCAGCTTCAACCAAACACTAAACGAAGAGAACACAGGGACACAAAAGGACCATGAAGTCAGTGCAGTCCGCGCCCTCCAGATCAAACACACGCCTTCCCTCACTCCCCCCTCTGCCTCGAAGTCTTCTCCTGACGGACCCATAAATACGGGCTGACTCCTCGCTCCCCACACACCGGGATCCTGCTCTCCCATCCTCACTGACTCCCAGCCATGAGGACCCTCGCCCTCCTCGCTGCCATTTTCCTGCTGGCCCCACTGGCCCAGGCTGAGCCTCTCCAAGAGAAAGCTGAGAATGCCCAAGAAGAGCAGCAGCCAGAGGAACAGGGCCAGGACGTGGCCATCTCCTTAGGAGGGGCTTCGAGGTCTAATCTTCAAGACGCAGGTGAGCAATCCAATGTGATGGAGGCCAGGACTCTAGAGAGGAAGGTCCAGAGACGGGCTATGGGCGCAGGTCTAAAAAGATCTAGGTCGCTTATATGACCATATTTAACCTCTCTGGACCTTGATTTCCTCAACTATCAATTCCAATGTGAGAGCCAAATCAACCAAGACATGTCCTTCTTCCAAAGACTTTGATCTCCAAGATATGTCCAAAATTCACTAGGTTAACCTATGAACAGATGCACAAACTAGTTCATTCTAGATCAGAAGGGATATGGGTGGTTATACAGACTATATGACCCTGTCTATTAGAGAAGATTTCGGAAACTGGAGTCGGGTGTAAGCATCTGATGTAGCGTGATGGGTGAGGAGCACACAGCCATGAGGACAGGTGAAGACGGAGTCTGATCCTTAGTGGCCAGCCCTGACCAGGGATACGGCTGCATGCAGTGGAGCCAAGGTGACGAACCCACACCCCAGCACTGAATGTCCTCAGGGTTCACTTTCCCCCCACTTCTGACCCCAGGACTTAGTGTCTTATTCTTTCTTGTGTCCCAGGTCGAGCACTGCTCAAGACTTGCTATTGCAGAAGGCTATTCTGTGGTTTTCTGGAACGCAGATCTGGTACCTGTATACTGAATGGGAAAAGCTACCTCTTCTGCTGCCGCTGAGCATCCAGAATGGAGAAGACATCACCACTTTCAAACCAAGGCAGAAATTTTTCACACTTCTATTGGAGTTCAGTGTTCTTACATTTATCTCAAATAAACTCCTTAAAATAAGTTTCCTGTTTGCCTCTCTGTTTTCTGTTGTGTCTCAGGTGGGGCTCTGACAATGGACTCTGAAATAATGAAATTTTAAGCAAAATCATGGCTGCATATCCTAGGAATGCAAGGATGATCACAGGCTTCTGACAGTGATGAGGAACTTCAACTCGGGCTGCTGAGGGAGGATCTGCCTGCCTCTCCTGTCCCGCACCTCTGCCTTCGTTCAGACTGGTCTTGTTCTCCAGTCACTCCCCGTGTGCCTGATCTTTACAGCCTCACCTGTCAGAAAGCCACCATCTGCTTCCCCAAAGTGTGGCGGTTTCATTCAACAAGCCCCAGTGAAATGTCTGTCTTTTAAGACCTGGGGTTGTACCATCGCCACTGAAACAACACTCAGAGTAGAACGGTTTTTTTCACACAGAGATAGTGGATAGAACAAAAGGCACAGGCGACCCATGCTGTGATGTATATATTATCACTTCCAAAATGTTGTATCTGGTAGAAGTATGCTTTGATATATATTGTATATGTGATTTGTCTTCACGAACACAAAACCCAGAGGTCCAATTCTGTAGCTCCCCTTTGCAGCACGAGTCCTATTTTTCATTTCTTTTTGCTTCACTGTTTTATTTTGGTTTGGTTTGGTTTGGTTTGGTTTAGTTTCAGGTTTCTGGGTTGGGTTGGGTTGGGTTGGGTTGGGTTGGGTTGGGTTGGGTTGTTTGTGTGTTTTCAACACTGGAGATTGAATTCATGACCTTCACAGTAAGCTACATTCCCAAAACATTTTCAAATTTTTTAAAAAATTTAAGGCAGGATCTTGCTAAGTTGTTATCTTCCCAGCACTGGGCTCAAACTTGCAATCCTTCTACCTCATCACCCCAGAGAGCTGGGATTACAGGAATATGCACTCTTAACTTGTCTACTAACTGCAGTGAACCTGACTCTGGCTAGAAAGTACGGCTGTGAAGGAGTGTCTAGGAAAGGTAAAAAGACACAGAACAATTCTCTGAAGAACCAAGAGACCCATCATGCTGAGGGTATGAGGCTTGGCTTCCAGGGGGTCATGTATGTGGGGCACTGAAGGCAGGACACGGTCAGAGCTGAGGACGGCAGCACTCAAGGGTGTTGGATCTGCAAGCTCTGGGCGGGGCTGGCCCAGCTGCCCCTGCTGTTCCATCTCCAACTGCTGCCCACCCCAACATGCCCACCATGTGGCGATTCCATCCTGCCTCAGCCTGCCTCCCTCTTCCCATGCAAGACCTCAGGGTCACATCTGACCCCCATGTCTACGAAGTGCTGGTCTGATGTTGACCAGAACTTCTGTCTGACAAGTTTCTCTCCCAGATACCCACAGACCCTTGAGCCCTCTTCCTATGCATCTTTTGAGTGCACATCAGCAGGTGACCAGAAACTCCTGGCAGCATATCCAGTGTGATCAGAGACTTGTGTCTCGGTTACTTTTCTCTCTCGTTGCTGGGACAAAATACCTGACGCCCAAAATAAAGGAAGGAAAGGTTCATTTCGTTTACAGTTTGTGGAGGTTTCAGTCCAGACTTGGCAGATTACAAGGCAGAGTGGCACATGGCAGAGAGCTGAGCTCAGGGTGGCAGAACACAGCAAAGCAACAAACACACACCAGGGCAGAATGGGGGAAGAATGGCCTCAAGCACTCTCTTCCTCTCCCTTACATATGCAAACTATCCATCCCAGGGGTACAGCTCTCACACCCTTAATCAGACTCTAAAAGCCTGCCCCATGGCCACATGAGGCTTTGGGGGGACACACAGACATAAACCATAACAACTTGCTATGTCCACTCTGGTTTGAGTATTTCCAGCTAAGGATTCCATAGCACAAGTGTGACAAAAGGACATATCAGACTGTCCATGGCTGTGCTTACCAGTGTGGTCCCTGGGAGAATATCCCACAGGGAGCAAGGTCCTACAGGGACAGAGAAACTGCAGCCTTCAGGCAAAGAGGAGGATTTCAAGAGTGGTTATTCACCCTTCTTGACTAAAATAACTGACGGCCCCAGAGAGGGCAGTGATCACCACTGAAATCAACCAAGACTCCTGGAGAGGGGATGGAAGATGTACCCTCAGGTCTGACGTAGAGGAGAATCCCAGTTCCTGAGTGAAGCTCTGGCAGTCTGGGGAGGCCACCACGATTGTTCAGGACCCCCACTGTGACCATCTAGGGCACAAACAACAACAGGGACCCCCTAAGGACAGAGTCAAGCTGTGGGTCTGACATGGACATGGACCAGCTCTTCCCCCCTGTGCAGAGTGGAAGTTTGAGATCGGGGTTCAGGCAGTGTACTTTGGGTTCCCCTAACTACCACTGATACGAATTTATTTTGTCAAGCTGGTAACCTGCATCATACAGTGACTCTAGGATCCAACTCTCCAGGGCCACAAATAAACGTAATGTGGAACTTCTGAGTTGACTTTCCCTCACAACCACTCCATAGACGTATATTAAATATCTGCCTTCCTAGTTGATTAAAGTATGTGCATAGCCATGCTTCCCAAAACCATGAATATTTTTCCTCAGGATACATGAACAGTTCAAAACATCAAAATTAATATGTAGAAGATAAACATGCCCTCTTGATCCAGGCTTAGACTGAGAACGTGTTCTCCCTTCCGTGCCTCAGAGCCAGTGGCTTTCCTCTCTTCTCTGAGCCTCTGCTAGAACTGTGGTGCTAACTCCTGGCTGTCTCTAAGGCAGGTGCAACAGCAGGGTGCTCTGGAAGCTGTCGGCCCCGTGTTCCCCTTAGTGGGAGAAGGCCAAGGAATAAATCCTGCCAGGAAATTAATTCCATCTGGCTTCCTGTTAACTCTGCTTCAGGTAGGTAAGGGCATCTGCCCTGCCTCCTACCAAGCACAGCCAAAGGGGCTCCTCTCTCCACCTGGCCCTATGGTTATAGCCCCAGGGCCACCCTCCAGCTGTCCTGCTCTAAGGTTCCCCCTGCTCTTTGGACCTTCGAGATCTTGGATCCCTTTAAGCACCCTTAAGATCCCTCCCCTTATTAATCCCTTTAATAAGGGGAGGCCACCCTTATTACTAGAAGCTCTTGGGGTAAGAGGGTAAGAGGCTTGGCTTCTTACAATGTGCTGCACTGTAGGACCCAGTGTTCTGATGGTGTCAACTCCATGGAGGTTTAGACAGAGACCAGTGCTATTTCCAACATGAGCTGGACATGTACCCACCCACAAGAGTGTACATTCCCTCAGAATAGCAGGCTTGCTTTGCTGGTATAGTTTGGGTTATAAATGCCAACATACTGTTCTGGGCATGAATAGAAGAAACTATGGGTTATTTTAAAATTCTTAGTAACAATGTTATGGAAAGCCCTCCCAGTCCTTGTCACTGCCCAGGAGGTTAATATTTGTAATCCCATGGGAAAGTTATTGGAATTATAATGAGTGAATTCCAATCTACCACTTCCAGTGCAACCCACGGCGAGAAGAAGGACACAATATATCCAAAATGGTGGGGGGTCAAGGGGGTCCTAAGTCCAGCCACAATGATGGCCTATACCCAGGACCGAACCCAGATTTTATTCATTTGTGAAGAAGAGAGTGACTTGAGGATGAGTGACTGTAAGAGTGGCACGAAGTATGTGCGTGCTGTGAGCTGGGCTAGGGAGGAGGCCTGAAATCACCTCCGCAATGTGCAGAGAGGAGGATCTGCAGAAAGAATATGTTACATCTGCATGGCATAATTGAGGTAATATCTGATGTTCTGGAGTCAGTGCTTCAGCTCTGATGTGTAATCTTTCAAGCCCCAGAAAATCATAGCCTCTATGTCCAGGCTCGATCCCAGCCAACAGCATGGAGCATTGGCTCACACATCCCACCTCATCCCAGTTCACTTGTGGGAAAAATAGAGGAGGTTGGGTCCAGGGAAACACACCTACCATCTTCAAAGACTACTGTCAGCACCTCAGCTGGACTGATGTGCACTGTTTAAAGCCAGCTGAAGGGATAAGGAAAGGGTCCTAGCCAGCTCTGCACATATCAATACATGGAAATAGGGTCAGGCTCAGCCAAAATGAAAGTGATTGCTGCTCTTTCAAGGAGAGTCACGTGGACAAGTGTGAAACCTGGTGTGGGTTATCCCACCTGACCCATACGACAGCACTGGAAGTCAGGAATGTTTACATTGTGAGGCTGGGAGGAAGGAGAAGGAAGAAAGGGAGGAAAAAGGGAGAAAGGAAGGAAGGGAGGAAGGAAGGGAGGAAGGAAGGAAATAAACTGATTAATTCCTTGGCTTCTACATGGGTGTTGTGGAGCGCTGCTGTGGTCCTAGCTACCCAGGAGGCTGGGCAGGATGCTTGCAAGTTTGAGGCCAGCCTGGGCCTTTCACAAGACTGTCTCAAAATGAAAATAAAAAGAACTAAGGACGTAGCTCACTGTTTTTTGGTTCATTCCCTTCTGCAGCAAAAGCAAAACAAACCAAAAGCAGTTATTTATATTCTGAGTGGCAACCAGGCACATGGCCCGTGTGTGTGAACTGAGTCCCTCGGCTGCTCAGCGGCCCCCATCCACTCCCACATTCAGGTCTCTTTCACCAAATACCCTTTATTTTTCCTGGGGAGATCTGCTTTGGGACCAGTGTTGCAAAGGTGGCTGGGATTCAGATCAGAAGTCGGTGCTCACCCACCCAACAATGCTCCCTGCTCCGCAGACCCTCTGGGGATGCATACTCGGTCCTCAGGATGGCTTTACCACCTTCAGGCCAGCAGGTGCTATGGTGTGACCCCTGCCCAACTGTCTGGAGCACAAGTCCTCCTTCTCTGCGGGCACACTGTGAGCACTGGTGTGGCATCCCACCACTGAGGACATTGCAGTGCAGAAACACACTGGGGCTTCAGAGGAGGCAGACAGCCTTGTGAACTGTCAAGGGTGTTTGAGCATTGCTCAGGCTTAGGTGTGGGGAAGGCCAGTGGAGAAAAACAAAGACTACAGCTAAGAGCCTCGTGCCCAGGGCCA